GTGATCGTCCTATGGGGAAATGGCACTTTAGTCCCCCCCACACACACACATACACACGCACGTGGAGCTATGTCAGCTCATCAGTGATCATCCTACAGAGAAATGGCACTTAAATCCCACACACACAGACGCACGCACTTATACTTAAGCTAATGTACAGTACTTGGGCCTAGGGAGATGGACCAAGCTTGTCTAGCAAGCGTGAGGACTTGAATCCGATCCCCCTTGCCCACACAAAATCTGGGTATAGCCACACGTCCATCACCCCAGAGCCCTGTAGGCAGAGACAGGAGGACTCCTGGGCCTTGCTGCCTGGCTGTCCCAGCTGAGTCAGCGAACTCCAGGTTAAGCAAGAGACCTGCCTCAAAAGTAAGGTGGAGAGCAATTGAGGATGACAGTCGGCATGTACACACACATGCACACAATGTGCTTTATTAAGATTCTGTTAGTAGTTTGAATTTTTAATAAGGTCTCATTTATAACTAAAAGAGTTGAGAGAATTGTGGCCAGAATTTCAGAGAATAGTGAGCACCTAGGCAACACAGCTTGCCATCTCTATTTTAAACTCTTATCAATTACTCCTAAATTGGCCATGGCTTCCTGTCTGCCAGGTGGGACTCTTCTGCCTCTTCACACCTGTAGTGTAACTGGCACAGACATCTAATTTTCAGTGCAAAGTACAGCAGGGGGCATCAGCACCTCTAGAGCTGGTACCATTGATCTTCCCAGAACTAGCCAGGGAGGCAGGTCTCTTGCCAGAAGTAGCCTGAAGGGGAGACTTTGGCTGCTTCTTTCTTTGTTTTATTCTTTTTGGTCAAAATAGAAAGGTTCAGCAGGGGGTTGGGGGCCAGAAGGGCTTTTCTGTGTCTTTTTCTCTTTGTTGTTCAAAAACCTACCAGGCTTTTTTTTGAGAGAGTGAGAGTCCTCATGATAATTGGGTTTCAACTCAGACTCAGGCTCCTCCCTTTCTGCCTCACCCTTTCAGTAGTTCCCTCTTCTCCAGCAGGGTGAAGCAGGAAAAGTCAGCTATAGCAGGGACTTCAGGGGAAAAGTTAAATTATATTTTTATTTTCAAAAGTGTGTGTGTGTGTGTGTGTGTGTGTGTGTGTGTGTGTGTGTGTGGGAGGCAGGGGTATATATATGCCTGCAGAGGCCAGAGGCATTTGATCACTTTGGAGCTAGGGTTACAGGTGGCTATAAGCCACCCTATAGATAAAGATGCTTGGAGTCCAACCCTTGCCCTCAGCAAGAGTAGTACTTGCTTTTAGTTGCTAAGCTGCCTCTGCAGCCTAGTAGCTGGATTTTAACAACCAGTACTTGTTAGACATAAAACTAGTCTTTAGGCTGGTGTCATAGTCTGAGCCAATGCCTGATCTAGGCACAGGGTCTTCTGAGACCACACCCACCCAGGAGGCCTCTCCTGCTTTTCCAGTCAGTTCTCCTGAGCCTAAAAAAGTGTGGCTGCAGAGGTGCAGCCACGGCGCTGTAGTGAAAGCACTTGCTGTACAAAGTTTAAGGACTTGCTAGGTCCCCATGCTCCAGTGGTCGGCCCTACACCGATTCACACATTGATTGTTACCAACTAAACTTTGTGGGTTATCAATTTTTTTTAAAGATAAGAAGTTAGGAGGAGGGAATGTAATGTTGGAGGGATATGAGAGAAGTTGAAGGAAGAAAAATTGATAGATGTCATATTTTTGTGTAGTGATATGAAATTCTCAGAAATAAAGAAAAAAATTAGGGGCTCAGAAGTTAAGAGCACTGACTGCTCTACCAGAGGTCTGTAACACGAAAAATAAAGACCCAGAGACTGATACTGGTGTGGACCCCCGCCCCCAGCTCCTGGCTGCTGGGATTAAAGGTGTGTGCCTGGTTTCCATGGCTGTGGCTGACTTTGCTTTCTGAATCCTCAGGCAAGCTTTAATAAATCACAAATAATATATCACTATAGAGGTGCCTGGCTCAATTCCCAGCCCCCACATGGCAGCTCACACCTGTCTGTAACTTTAGTTCTAGGGGATCCAACACCCTCACACAGACACCTATACAAGCGAAACATCAATGCCCATAAAATAAAAGTAAATTATATTAAATAAGAAAAATAAAAGAAACAAGAAAAAATAAATTAAAGACCAAGAAAGGCTGGGAAGGCAGCTCTCTCAGTGTAATGCCTGCCACACAAGCGTGAGGCCCTGAGTTTGTGTCCCCAGCACCCTAAAGGGCCAGGCATTCTCATACGTGTCTGTAGCCCTTGTGGGGTGGGAAAGGATGCAGGCAGCACCCCAGAGCTCACTGGCCACTGGATCCAGTGACATGCCCTGTCTCAAAAGACAGAGTAAAGAACTGAGTCATGCCTGCTAGGTACATCTGCACCTCTGATTCATCTCAGGTGCTTAAAAGATATAACGTGTGTGTGCGCGCACGCGTGCACACTCGTGGATACGTGTATTTGTCCATGCCTGTGGAGCCCAGAGGTCTGCCTTGGGTGTCATTCCTCAGTAGCTGTCCACCTTGTTTTTTGAGACATGGTCCCTTAATGGCCTAGTATTTAACAAGTAGCATTGACTGGTTTGAGGCAGGCTTTCATTTGAGCCACCAACCAGCTCCCAGATCATGACAGGAGACTTACTAATTATGAATGCTTGACCTTATGTCATCCTTGTCCCTAGGTTCTATCTACATTTTGGCTCTGGACTTTTTACCTTTCTTTCATTCTGTACGCCCTACTTTTCCTGCTTCCTCTGTGTCTGGTTGGATGGCAGCTGCCTGGCTGCTTGCTGGCTTTCTCCCTCATTCTCCCCTCTGCTCCCTGGTTCTATCCTCTCTTCCCTTGAGCCTCCATTCCTCCTTATGCTTATTCGCTCTGCCTGCCAACCCTGCCTATCCTTTTGCTGCCTAGCTATTGACTGTTCATCTTTTTATTAAATCAATCAGGTGCCTTAGGCAGCCAAAGCAACACATCTTTAACAAATTCAACATAAACAAATGTAAGGCATCTTTACATAGTTAAAGAAGTATTTTTTCCTTTTTTTATTTAAATTAGAAACAAGCTTTATTTACATGTCAATCTCAGTTCCCTAGGGAGGGTGAGGTCTTCCATGGGGGGAATCTCTAAAGTCTGTCATATCATTTGGAGCAGGGCCTAGACCCTCCTCCGTGTGTCTAGGTTGAGAGAGTATCCCTCTATGTGGAATGGGCTCCCAAAGTCCACTCATGTACTCGGGATAAATACTGATCCAGTACCAGAGGCCCCATAGATTAACCATACCTCCAAACTGACATCCTCGTTCAGGGGGTCTGGATCAGTCCTATGCTGGTTTCCCAGCTATCAGTCTGGGGGCCATGAGCAACTCCTTGTTCAGATCAGCTGTTTCTGTGGTTTTCACCAGCCTGGTAGGGACCCCTTTGCTCATCACTCCTCCCTCTCTGCAACTGGGTTCCAGGGTTCAGCTCAGTGTTTAGCTGTGGGTATCTGCTTTTGCTTCCATCAGCTGCTGGATGAAGGCTCTAGGATGGCATATAAGGTAGTCATCAATCTCATTATCAGAGAAGGGCTTTTAAGGTAGCCTCTCGACTGGTGCTTAGATTGTTAGTTGGGGTCAACCTTGTAGATCTTTGGACATTTCCCTAGTGCCAGATTAAAGAAGTATTTCATAACACTGGTTAGCCATTGAGTCCCAGGGATTTGCCTTCCTCTATCTCCTTACCATTGAGATTACAGTGTACTGCATCACACCTGGCTTTTTATGGGTCCTGGGGATTGAACTCAGGTCCTCATGCTTGGGCAGCAATCACTTTGCTGACTGCCTCCTCTCCAACCCCTAAATTAAATTACTTTAATTTTTATGACCACCTAAAAGCTTTTCTTACTATTGCCATTTTAGAGTCATCTCTTAGTCATAAGTCTTTAGTGTGTGTTTTGTAGAAAGATTTTATGGAAACATTGTGTTAACTTGGTGGTTAAAAGTTTCCTTAGAGAGATACATGGCTAGAGAGTGAATTTGCTCATCACCAGGTTAAGGACCATCTACTGCGCCCCAGGCATTGCATTGGGCATGGAGAACTCAGTAGTGAGGGTGTGGAGGCCTGCCCAAGACCAAGAAGTGCCTGCTGCTGAAGGCCTCCCTGCATTGTGCAGAGAACTACATTGTAGCAGTCAGCCAGGTTGGCACCATAGAAGCCTTTGACATGGGAAGTGGTGGGCAGGGGAGGCCTTTAAATATGCTGCCTGCTAGCCACAACTTAAAGTCCAAAACAGAGGAGATCAGGAACGGTATCTGTAGAAGGTCTTGGAGGTGGGAGAACCAGCAATGGTCATCACAGATTAAAGGCTGAGGACCTGAGGTCGGGGTTGGTCAGGTCACAGGGCTAGAGGACAAGCCTCACAGGGCTTTATGTGCAGCAACTCATATGTGCCACCATCCCGATTGTACAAGGTAGGTTTACTGCAGGATGAGAAATGCAGAGAGGCTCAGTGATTCCCTCTGGTCACACCGCCAATCAGAGAGAGTCATGGGATTCCTTCTGTTCCAGGTACATTGGCTCCAGGGCCCCTAACTCAGCTACCTCAGTGTACTTCGTAGCCCAGATGGACTAAGGAACCTGTAGGGAGAGCCTTCTTGAGTTTTTCTAGACCAGGCTTTGGATGGGTGGGACTAACTACTTACCACTAAGTAGTCCTTAGGCAGAAGGTATGAGGTAAACCTGCAGCTGGATGCTTGTCTGTGGGGTGAGTGTGTTTCTTAGCTGACCATTTTCAGCACATTGGAGGAGAGATGAGTGGTTACCATAGTTGTTGATGGGAACCAGTTTCCTTTGTGACACTGGTCTATGCCACCCTTCTTTTGTAGTTCCATAGCTGTTGGCACCTTTGTGGATGGCTTCTAGTAGCTTTTAGTGGACAACCCAGTCACAGGGCATGTCTGCCTCAGTGTGACTGACCCAGCACTGTTGATGGTGCCTACAGATACAGTTTTAGAGTATTTCCTCTTTCTGTCTAGATGGATTTGAAGATTGTGGTCCAGACTGTGACAACGGGAAGGTCACGGCTTTCTTGGACATCCCTGGCCACGATAAGCTGCCCCTGCTCACTCGCTTGGAAAAGCGTGCGTTCAGCGAGGATGTCTTCAGCCGGTAAGCAGCATCCTTACACTGCCAGCTCCTGCGGCTGTGATAGGCTCCAGGGGGCGCACGTTAAGGTGCTCTGCAGCTGTCTCCACGACACCTCCATTCTGTCTCTGCAGAATCCTGTCTTACTAGGCTTTCCCAGTTGGTTTTTTGTTGGTTTTGTTTTGGTGGAGCTGGGGATCGAACCTAGAGCCTGTGTGTGCTGCCTAAGCTCCTTCTCACTGAGCTGCAGCTCCAGCCTTGCTTGTTGCTTCTGCCAGCTAGGCGAGGTAGGAAATGGTTCGGAGGGTATTCTGCCCATGCATACAGTAGGGTATGGCACAGCACTGCCTGGACTGTGCACTCCCAAGTTCCTTGTCACCCTGACCCGCCTGCCTTTCTGCACTGTCACTCCATAGCAACACGGACCTATCTGTGTTGCTTTCAGCTGTGGCCTTGGTTTAGTTTCTTGAAGAAAGCAGGAACTCATGCTGTGCAAACTGCCCCAGCCTGCACATCCTCATTCCTGTCCTTCCTGTCTGTCCGTTGGCTCTGCCCTTGGCCTCATCACTTCCTATCCTCTGTTCCCACCTATTCAGGATGCCGTTGTCCCTGACTCTTCATCTGGCACACAGGTCCTTTCCTTCCCTCATTTTCTATCCTTTGCATCTTCCCTGGTCATACCACTCTCGAGAGAGCCAAGGGCCCCTCAGTTTGTCCCTACCATCTATTTAGTTGTTCTTAGAGGTGATGTTCTAGGTCAAGCTTGGGCCCACCCCTTACATGGTAGGTCATAGAACTGGGAGAGCATCCCCCATTTTAGAAACAGGGAAATGTGCTCCTCATTCTTCATCTACAAGTGATTCACAGCTCGCTTGCCTCATCTCTCCTGGTTAGTGCTTCCATGTCATGTAAGCACAGGGTTTGATGGGATGCGGTTCAGCACTTGAGGCTGAGGCAGAACAATATCAAGTTTAAGGATAGTTTGGGCTGCTTATAAGAACCTGTCTCGAGAAACAACAAAAAGAAATGTTTGCCTGTCGGGGCCATAGCTATTCTCTGCTGGTGTTTTCCATAGTTTTATATTTTACATTTAGGGTTTCAGTGCACCTAGAATCATGGCTGTTGTCTGGACAGTGTGTGAGGTGGCCACTGTCTTCTCAGTGTCTTGTGATGCCCTCAAGGACTCTGGCTTACCCGTCACTGCACTGCAGTAATGTGAAGACATGATGTCACACCCTGCTCTTAGGATTGCCTTGGCTTTTCTCGCAGTCTCATTCTCATTGCCACACATGCTTTGCAGAGGCTTAGCAGTCCCTGGGAACAAGAAAACCAGCCAGCCTATGGGCTCCTGTTGGCAGCTCCCATCCACCAGTCAGTCCCTGCATGCACACACGCACACACACCAACACACATGGATGTGGGCACACACACTAATGCAACTATGAGGCTACAGGGCATATTTTCCTGTTGCAGAGTCCTGACTCTTGTCAGACATATATATATATAATTTTTATTTTATGTACATTGATGTTTTGCCTGCATGTATGTCTGGGTGAGGGTGTCTAGTCTCCAGGAAGTAGAGTTATGGACAGTAGTAGCTGCCATGTGGGTGCTGGGAATTAAACCCAGGACCTCTGGAAGAACAGCCAGTGCTCTTAACCACTGAGCCATCTCCAGCCCCTCTGGTCGGGTTAATTCTAGGTGTTTGGGTTTTGTTCTTGTTGTTGTCCTTTATTAGCCCTTTTGAGACAGACTTGCTGTGTAACCTAGAAGGCCTTGAACTCAGGGCTCTGCTGCCTCTGTTCTAGGGATTGTATCACAGGTGTGCACCTCAGGGCAATTCATTTCTTAACCTTTCTAGCTGCTGATAGCAGAAGAGAATGGAAAAAAAAAAAACTTTTAAGCTTTGTTTCCTTTTCGATGATACACTGATTCTGACTTCACTGCATTTCTGTGGAGTCTCTTGGTTTTCTGTGTATTGCATTGGTGTCTGTGAAAATGAGGTTTTGGTTTTTCTTTACATTTTAAGTAGAAAATTTGGGTTTATTGTTCACTAAAATTTTTTTTTTAATTAAACACACACGAGGCACAAGAAAGCGAAGGGAGAGAGAGAGAGAGAGAGAGAGAGAGAGAGAGAGAGAGAGAAGAGAATGTTTCAAAAGTAGCAGAATTCTCATGTGCTCTCTACTTCAATCCCTTTGTCAGTGTTTTGCCCTGTCCTGTGCAGGATCCCTATCTCCTCCTCAAGTTTCATGCTGCTCTCTGACCCCACAAGTTTCTTGAAGACTTCATGCTACTTTGCCCTTAGTTCCTTCAGTTGCAATTTCCTAGGAACAAAGACCCTCCTCTTTGTCACTCCTGTAATCACAGTGTGCTTGTGACATGTGGGAAATGAAGCTGGTACAATATTGCTTGTTATCTATTTATTTAGGTGTTTTTGTTTTGTTTTTTGAGATAGTGCTTTCACTGTATAGCCCTGGTAAGCCTGGAAGTCACTATGTAGAATAAGTAGGCTGGCCTCTAATGCTTAGAGATCCATCTGATTCTGCTTCCCAAGTGCTGAGATTAGAAGGTGCCACCTTGCCCAGCTAACACTGTCATCTAATATACAGACTTTAATAAAATGGCACTAGCTGTCCCGATAATGCCGTGATATTGCTTTTCCTGTCCAGGCTCTAGCTCAGCACTGTGTGTCCCATAAACTCTGCACTCCTGTAGTGTCCACTGGTTTCCAAGTGTCTCACCCTCTCTCTACTGCTCATGACCCTAACTTTCTCCTTTCTGCTTTTGAGACCCTCCCACTCATGGCGATCGTCCTGCCTTGGCTTCACAGACCGGAAGCTGCTGTGCCTGCTGGTTTTAACATTCGTTTTGTATGTTGAACCAACCCTGCATAAACCAACTGAAGAAGAAAAACCACATGATCATCTCACTAGATACTGAAAAGATCTTTGACAAAATCCAACACCCCTTCACGATAAAGGTCCTTGAGAGATCAGGGATAACAGGAACATACCTGAACATAATAAAAACAGTATGCAGTAAACCATCAGCCAACATCAAACTAAATGGAGAGAAACTCAAAGCTATTCCTCTAAAATCAGGAACAAGGCAAGGTTGTCCACTCCATATCTCTTCAATATTGTCCTTGAAGTTCTAGCTAGAGTAATAAGACAACAAAAGGAAATCAAGGGGATACAAATTGGAAAAGAAAAAGTCATTCTTTCACTGTTTGAAACTGAACAGATAGTCTACATAAGTGACCCGAAAAACTACCAGGGAACTCCTACAGCTGATAAACACCTTCAGCAAAGTGGCAGGATACAAGATTAACTCAAAAAAAAATCAGTAACCCTACTATATATGGATGATAAATGGACTGAGAAAGAAATCAGAGAAACATCATCCTTTACAATTGCCACAAACAACATAAAATACCTTGGGTTAATGCTAACCAAAAAAGTGAAAGACCTGTATCATAAGAATTTTGAGTCTTTAAAGAAAGAAATTAAAGAAGATACCAGAAAATGGAAGGGTCTCCCATGTTCTTGGATAGGTAGGATCAACATAATAAAAATGGCAATCTTGATAAAAGCAGTCTACATCCCCATCAAAATCCCAGCACAATTCTTCACAGACCTTGAAAAAATAATTCTCAACTTTATATGAAAAAACAAAAGACCCAGGATAGCCAAAACAACCCTGTACAATAAAAGAACTTCCAGAGGCATCACCATCCCTGATTTCAAGCTCTGTTATAGAGCTATAATTCTGAAAGCAGCTTGGCATTGGCACAAAAATAGACAGGTAGATCAATGGAATCAAGTTGAAAACCCTGATATTCACCCGCACACCTACGGACACCTGATTTTTGACAAAGAAGCTAAAGCTATACAATGGAATAAAGAAAGCATCTTCAACAAATGGTGCTGGCATAACTGGCTACTGGCATGTAGAAGACTGCAGTTAGATCCATGTCTATCACCATGCACAAAACTTACGTCCAAGTGGATCAAAGACCTCAAAATAAATCCAGCCACACTGAAGAAGAGAAAGTGGGAAATGCCCTTGAACGAATTGGTTCAGGAGACTGCTTCCTGAACATAACACCAGTAGCTCAGACACTGAGATCAACAATTAATAAATGGGACCTCCTGAAACTGAGAAGCTTCTGTAAGGCAAAGGACACA